GGCATACACGACTTTCCGGCGAAAGTGAATCTAGCAGCCTGTGTGAAATGCGCTAGGCTGTACTACTTGTCCCTCTCATTCTGCGCCAGTACAAATACGTGCACGCGTTGCGCGTGTTTTGCTTGCTTAAGTGTTTCTGCATTATATGAGTGGCTTTGGAATATAAATCGCAGCACGTTTCAGATGGGAAAAAAAAACGCTACTTCTATTTCTGAAAATATCACAGTAAGGAGATTTATAACGAGTGGTTCCCAGCATTATTACAGCAAAGTGCGTGATTACAGTACTAAGCCGCTGCAATGGAGCAGCTCTAATGTTACGTTACACGTAATAAATGTTGGATTGGCCATCAAGATCAAGAAATGCATTATTGATTGTTGCCTGGAAATGAGTCATGAGGGGAGTGGTTCCGACATCATGCTGAAAATCAATATTCAGAATTTCAGACATTTCAAATGTTAAATGTGTTAATTCTTAATGCATGAGCAATTGTAAGTTGTTGTAGTGTTTTTGTGCATTTGCTCCACTTTCAGCTAAATATTTAGTTAAGGGTATGAAAACTTATGCAATGTACTTATTTCAGTTTTTTTATTTTGAATAAATTTACGAATTTGTGACAATTCTGTTTTTGCTTTGTCAATATGGTGTATGGAGTATAGATTGATGCGGGAAATAAAAGTAATTTAAAGCAGTTTAACATAAGGCAGCAACATAAAACGTGTATATATATATATATAGGACATTTCAAAAGTATCAAAAATATATGATGAAGAAATGAAAAATCTTTAACGAAAAATTGGAAATGAAAGGAGGGAAAAACGAGTCGAAGCTGATTTCATGGGCTCTTTCAGATATAGTCAAATTGGTATAGATGACCTGGCCATATGTCAAACAGATTAAGTGAAAATCCACAAAAAATCTACTGTTTTAAAATATCTTGAAGAGAAGCTCTATAATGAAGTCTACCTGCTCTGTGACACTGTCAATAATATTTAAATGATGGAGCTGCATTTTATGATGAATGTTTAGGAGAAGAGCAGCAGAAATGATGCAGAAAATATAGGCGCTATTTTTACTCAGTTTCAGCTGTCACTCTCCAGTACTTTGGTGCATGGATAATAGGGTCAGCTCAGTGAGAGGCTGCTTCACTGCCATCATCAGCCATGCGTGCACCTATAATCTCCACCAGAAGAAGATTCCATCACTCTTTTTATTGCATCATCTGACCTCGTGTGGCTTAAAACACTGTAAAAGCAGGAGTGGAAGGGAAGAGTACACAAAAAAACACACTGAACAACAGTAGTTATCTTCAGTTAATAATTGCCTTCTTAGTCTAAAGTGTACTAGTCAAGGTTGGTAACATCATTTGGTTCCTGGAAAATGCACGTTTACATTAGATAAGTTTCTATGGAGCTTCTCCATCTGAGGACAAAAAAGCCATTTAGAGGTTGTTTACAGTGATTTCC